GCTCATGAGGAGCAGCAAAGGAGAACTGCTAAAGAGGAGCAGCAAAGGAGAACTGCTCAGATTTCAGAGGAGGAAAGGATCAAACAGATCCAGGAGCAGAAGACAACAGAGCAGCAGATTCAAGAGCAGAGGAGCGAAAGAAAGAGAAGAGAAGAATGGATGAGAACTCAAAAGGAAGAGGAAGAGATGAGAGCTGTTCACAAAGACAAGAAGGCCAAAGAGGAGAAGACCAGACTCCTGGAGGAGAGCCAAGCAGCACTGAAAGAGGAGGAGAAGAGAGTAGCACGAGAACGGACGCAATCTCAAAGAGAGGATGAGAGCAGGGCTAAAGAAGAAGAAAAGTTAGCAGCTTACAGAGAAAAGGACAGAGCCGCTCAAATGGAGGAGCAGAAAAGAGCAGCACAGAGGATGGATGCTCTTCAGTACTATGCCATCACCTCAACAGACCTGGAGAGGAAACCCAGAGGAAGACAGTTATGCTCCCCTTTACCTTCCCAACGAAGAAATAATCCATCAGGGCTTGAGTCAACTGAGGACTCCCACATCAGGTCTTTTAGGCCTCATGCCCCTGCATCTCCAGCTCCATCTCTGCCCCGCTCCAACACCTCTTCTCCTGCTCTGGGAGCCAAGCCCTTAATGTTCAAGGTGAAGGATAACACCACTAGAGGCTCCTCTTTCACCAAGTCAGTCAAACCACGCTTCCATAAGAACCTTGTAGAGGATTTCCAAGTGGAGAGAGCCGAGGAGGAGCTAGAGCTAATGAGACACAGTGCTGTAACTCCTGTCCATTACGACACAGGGTCAAATAGACTTGCTGCTATCAAAGAATCTTCGCCTTTTCAGCCCGCATCTTCTTCACAGGATTACACAGCCCCTCTCCCACATTACAGGCCTTACTCTAGGAGGAGCATCGTTCTGGATGAAGACGACTCGCGCTCTGTCATCAGCAACATGTCAGAGGATGTGGAGAGTTATGCCACCAGTGCAGCAGACCTTGCAGATATACGAGGCCTGTATGACCACGAGAGGCCAGAATCAGCCTGCAGCTTCAGCAGTGATGTGTCCCGCTCTCTGGGCAAGCCTCCAGCTGTTCCCCCAAAGAGTGAGAAAGCATTGCGCAGGGCGAAACGGCTGACTACTCGGAGAATCAAGAAGGAGCTGACCAAAGCAGACGGCCCTGCTGGAGTTGAGAAACCTCTTCAAGAGGTTTCTGGTATTCCTTCCTCCTCTTCCTCCTCCACTGAGGTACGCTTCTCCAACCGCCATGCTGTGGCTTCCCCTCATTTTTCCCCACCTGTCACCCTCACTCATGCTCCAGCATTGGGGTCTAGCTTGCCTTCCTCCCACACAGAGCACCAATCTTCTCATAGCTCTTTCTATGCTTCCCCTCATGCCACTGGTCCTATCTCCCTCCCAGCTGCCTCACCACATGCTACTGCTCCCATTTCCATCCCTGTTACCTCGCCTCACGCTACTGGCCCTGCTTCCCACCCTGCTGCTCCTAAGACAGTTGCTGATGTTCCCTCTTCTCCCACTCTCCATCATGCCAACCACCCAGCTCCAGTGACCCAGTACCATGTAGAGTCGAGCTACCCCCAGTCCTACCCAATGACCCAGCGAAAGGTGCTGCAAGACCTCGGCTCTGGTCAGTATTTCGTTGTGGACGTGCCTGTTCCGGTGAAAACAAAAACTTTCTTTGACCCCGAGACGGGAAAGTATGTTCAGCTAAATGTGCGCGAGTCTGCCCAGAGCACCTCCCGACCACAGCCCCAGCCCCAGCCCCAGCAAACGTACATACAGCCTCAGCGCCAATCCCAAATTCAAGTCAAGCCCCAACAACAGCCTCTCTCCCAGGATCCTCCAGCTGGCAAGCCCCTTGTGCTTTATCAAGGCTACCATGGGTATCCACAAGGCTACCAACCCACAGCTATCAACTCTGTGCACCACAACAGGTCATCAGCCCCTGCAACTCTCCACCAGGACCAACAGCCTGCCAGGGAGAGTCACAGCTATGGATATCCAGCCCCTGAAATGGGACAAAATTCTGAAGAGCATCGCTACAGCCCAGAGAAGACTCCATACATGGACACGGTTAATGATACAGACAAAACATATAACACAGTTTACAGCACACATGGCCCATATGAGTCGTTCCCAGAGTGTGACACAAACAGCCAGCTTGCAGGAAGCTCAATTTGTGAAAATGATAACTCAGCCCACTCACGATATCAGCCCCGTGATATAATAACAATGAGTGAACTGGAGGATTTTATGGATCTATCTGACTGGTGAGAAGAAAGACTGGTAGCTTTGACTCAAAAGGGGTTGATCATGTAAAGCAGACAAGTAGCTCAAAGTATTTGATAAAATAAAATGTTTGTAAATGACTTTTCAAGGAAAAATAGTCTCAGAATGTTTTTGGTTTGTAGTTTCAAAAAGCTCATGTGAAATGTTAAATTGCTGCTGTTGATTTTGGAGATTTGCTGTTGAGCTATTTATTGTGTTACAGAGAAGTTCACCATTCCATTTGACTTTTGAATGTGAGAAGCTAAGACATGTTTCTTGTGTATACAGTATGATCAGTGTCCCGTTGCCTCCTAAACCAAGAGGTACGTTATCACATCAAACAACAGTTTGTCAAGTTTACTAGTGTTTAGTAGTTTGGAGAAATGTTGGTTTCTGCTACGAACACTTGCAGGTCTGCTTAAATTTTCGTTATTTTTTTTCTTGTTGGAGAAATCCTACTTTTGGCATTTTGTGATGCATGAAATATTGTTAAGCCCACAGCGTCAATCAAAGATCTGCAGATGGTAAAATGTTTGTGTATTCAACCACTGTGTCAAAGTGAAGAAATGGTGTTTAATATCATATGGTAGTACATTTTCTAAGTTGAAAGTTTGTGAGAATGTTTCTGTGTTGCTGTGAGTAGTGTGACATGGACTTATTCGGGCAATAGAAACACACTTCATTCAACCAAATAATTTTTTCACCACAATAACTATCTTTCAAGATCACCCTGTGAAGCTTATCCATAAACAAAAGGGACATATAAAGGTTGCTGCCACAGGTTGATTTCATTTTACTACTCAAAATACTGTAATAACAATATAATGTTATTGTCACTGGCATCCTGTTCTGACTCATGAAATGTACCCTGGGTCTGAATGAATCAAAATGAAGCGTCTTTTCACTGAGTGCATAAGACAATTACAACGTGTTATTGAGAGAAAACAATTATATGTCCTGAGAGAGTTCATAAACACAAAAAGAGAAAATAACATTTTATGCGTATGCATTCTTTTTTTTTGCTGTATGAATTAATGCAAATGGTTAAATCCTCGTCTACTATACCTATGGGATCCAATGATAGATATAATACTGTGTGAAATGTCTTTTCTTTGATTTGCCTTGAGTCACAAACTGAGATTAAATGTACATGGCTGTGGTGAGCCTGCCTGCTTACACTCCCCAGTTTCATGATAAACACAAGTAATGTTGATCCCCTGAGAAGCAATAACCTGCTTTGACCACTGTAGGGCAGAGGAGAGCGATTCCTCCAGTGAAGCAAAGACTTGAACTTAAGACTTATGTAAAGGAAAACTTGAGGGAAACCCCAACAAAAAGATGTTGCTAAGAAGACATTATATATCTTCAGTGTCTTTACACACACAACTCTCTTTTGATACAACCTGTACTAAAGAAAAAACTAAAGATTTTGTCAAAGTTAGAAAGGATTAAACCGCCTTATCAACCCACCCACCTACATTTTCCACTGAATTCATGCTTTTCTACGTACAACCTGAAGGGTTAAATCTGTTGTGTAATTCCATTTGGCTTTGGCAGAGCTCGAAGCGCCAGCAAGAAGCCCTGCCTCAGCAGTTTAGCCTGCCCAATAAAGCAGCAGGCTTCATACCGCTGGGACAGTCTGACAACCACAGCCAGAGACAAGCCCATGCCACTCTGTCCAGCAGCCAGACAGGGAGAGGTCCCAGCACACACACGCACATCCATATAAATACATGAACACATGCATGCAGACACAGAAACCAACAGCGTGCATACATGAACAACAGCTTTGCTCTTTGTAAACTTTATTGGGAGATGCAGGGCGAGGATTATCCCTAGACTTTGAGAGTAACTTGGGTGATGGAATTGCATGTTCAGCGCTTTATTGTATATGCTTCTCAAAATGACACACAGTGTGAAACAGGCATGCACACGCACACGCACGCACACACATACACACACACATACAAACCACAAGACTTGACCATCGCTTTAGAGGTCTGAGGTTTTGGGCCACGGTCCAAGAGTCTTCACAGGAACACAGGAAATGACATTTCCTACGTTTTGCAGGACACACAGAGAAAGAGAGAGAGAGAGGGGGAGAGAGACAGGGAGAGACGGTCCGAGTGAGAGAGAGAGAGTGCTGGGAGAGTGAGTGGGAGTTTCTAAGTGGGAACAGAGCATTTACTGTTTCATATTACACAGAAAAGAGGAGAAAGAGGAGAAGAGTTAATGGTGGGTAAGGGCTCTGGTGGGTTGTGCAGTCAGGCTCTGTTTTCAATGTAGCTGCTTGTGTAAGTGCTGTGCAGTTGCCTGGGTTTATGGATTCGCTGACTGTGGAAAATGTACTTCTCTATAGTGGTCCTTGTCCTGACTAAGGCTCTGGTCACAGGTAAGTTTACCTTGTTTACAGCAATATACACCAGTAAGAAAGCGAACAAGTAAAGAAAGAGAATGTTTAGTAACGTGATCTGTTGTCTAACATACACCACTGTGAAACCATACATTTTGAGTTTCTTATGGAACTTTGGCAAAACAATAATGTCAAACATACAAGGAAAACACCACCTAACAATGGCTATTAGGCTGGTGCATTATTACATTATTGTCAATATTGAAGTAACAAAAGGTGTCTTGCAAACTGGGGAAATTGTTTAAAATCAAACCAGTTGCGCTTCAGTTAAGCAAGTTTGTTCTCAGTGATCAGAGAAAACCGCAGTATAATTTGCATTCTAAAAACTGACATAAAGTGGACTTTACAACTCATATTTTCTGCCCTGTAATCTTTTGATTATGTTCAGTTTCGTGTTTAGTTTAAGTCCTTCAAGTTGCTGCTTTTGTTGTCACATTAAATAGTGTAAGACAGACCCTAAGGGAGATTCCCCAACCAACATAACAACAACATCAACAGAAAAAACCCCAGCAATGCAGCCCAGATGGTCCCTGTTAACTTGTCGCGTTTCTCTTTGCCTTGTTTGGGGTGTACCGTGCTAAAGATGAATGTTTCCCACCTGTAGATTCTCTTTCTCTGTCTGATCACACATATTGTGTCCAGACTCCATGTCTCTTCTAGACAGACCTGACCCAGCTGGCAGCAAAATAAAACGCAACTACCTACAGGGAAGTAAGATAGAGGGACAACAAAGTATGTTTTAGTTTCCTCATTCTTAGTCCTCTTACACTTTCAAGCTGTTACAGACTGAATTCCCATCCAGTGATGGAATGACATATATAAGTAGAACCAGTGATAGTGTGAGCTCTAACACTATAAATCCATCAGCAACTGTGGGTGTGCATATAAACTTACTTTGTCTAAATGCTACAATTATGTTTAACTGGCAGGATATCAAACATCTTGCAAAAATGAACTGAAGACTTTTTCCATGCGGGGCACATTACCAGCTCTAGTTAATTACTAATTTAAAAAGCAGGGAGGAGTCACACAAGCCATCAGATCATAGTCCTCTGTGAGTGCCCTTGTGTTTTGAAATGAATAAGTTTTATTATATTTGGTTTGATTTTATTCTGTCATAAAACAGTATACGCATAACATGCTTGCAAACAATATTAACGATACATAGCCTAATACAATATGTAATATAATACACGTTACCTAATCAATAGAATATGGGATCTGTGTTTACAACAACACCCAAACAAAAAAATTATTTCTTTTGTCAACAGAGGTATGTCACGCCCTGAATGTGACAGTGACCCCCGGGCCCGTTGTCATGGTAACAGAAAAAGACAACTTGACACTCTCCTGCCTGGTATCTCAGAGGAAGAGAAGCGGCAGTGTCCTCATCCTTCGCTGGTTCTTCTCTCCTCTTTCCGCTCCCACTCTCGCGCCTCCTCCCTCCCCTCCGTCCCCCTCTCCTCCTGCACCCGAGCCCTCTCAGTTTCTGATTGTGAAGATGGGCATAAAGAAAATGAAGTTGTATGGGAACTACACACGTCGTTTCCCCCAGCCAAAGTTTCGTCTGTATGAGGAAACAGAGGGAGAGGTGTACCGGCTGTGGATTCTAAACGTGAAAGGGATGGATCAGGGTTTCTACAGCTGTAGAGTTCAGGAAATTCGCAAACACAGGAACACATGGAAAGCATCGTCCAATGGTACCGGCACCATACAGCTGACAGGTAACTAAAGATGTTCTTCAACACACTCTCCATGTTAGAATTGTCTGTGGAAAGACCCAGGGCCCCATTTTGGCTGATAATCGGGTGAAAGTTGAGACATGTTAGTTTTTTTTAACTAATCATGTTTGCCTTGTGGTTAGTGGTTTGAGACCCTTTCTCAGCAAGCATCCTCCTTGTCTAGGTGTCCTTTGGCAAAATGTTAAAGCCCTATAGCATAACTGGGCGGTGTCCCCTTGCAAAGGGCAAGCCAATCAAGTGTAAGGTGGTGAAACAAGACAAAATTTCAAATATTGCACTATTTCTAGCAGACTTGGGACTCAGATTGCATTAACCTTTTTTGCTATCTGTGCAAGGGAATTTATTAACATCGATTTAACCTTCACTTGGTTCGGGCAGACAGAGAAGTACAGAGAAACAAATCTACCTACCACCTGGCAAAACAGTGAAACTATGCATTGGGTTGTACACCATTTGGCCTTGAACAGCGTATCACAAACAGCGTTTGTGCAACCCTGGTCACTGACAAGAGAGGATCAAACACAAAAGGGGATTTCTAGTGTACTCTGAAAATGTTCCATGGAATTCTTCTTTCCAAGGAATTCCCTAACAGCCGCACACATTCAGCTCAGACATGCTGTCCACGCTATCTGGCAGTGGAAATAACTAAATAAAGCAGGAGCAACAGTTTTTTTTTAATTAAAAGACAAAGGGCGAACTGAAAAGTGTAGCATGTATTTTCAGACTCTACGCTATTTGCTGTAAGTTGCGCCTATGTGCGTTTGAGTGTGACCCCAATCCTCTGGCATTTCCATCTCAAAACAATGAGCTCACACAGCCAAACCACACTCAACAATATCGCTCTCTGTGTATGAGTGTGAGGAGTAAAAAGGTAAGAGTCTTGCTGAGCTGGCTACATTCAAAACTCCGAAAAATACATGATGTCAGCACCCTGGGTTTACTTTAATGCAAGCCTCAGGAGAAAATTTACTACAGAATTCGGTTGCAGTAGAACTTATTTAGTCTGTGCCAGTATGTAGCTACAATAAAAAACCTGAACAAGTAAGAATTAATTAAAATCACATGCAGTAACAAATATTTCTTTACACACGTCTGATCTCTTTTCTGATTTAACTGGATTGATCGGAAGGGAAGTCATCTGTCACTGTGGGATGCACTGGATACAGGGGTTCAATAGAGATTTTCAGATGCTGCTATAGCATGTGTGGCTACATTATGTGTGGCTGCACCTGACAGAGAAGCACAGTTCACCTTTCACTAGTTTTATGACAGAAAAGCATAGAGGTTTGAGTCAGACTGAGCCATCAGACAACGCCCTGCCCTATATTCAGGGCAATGTCCCGCTAAGGAAGCCACACAACCTCAGGCATCTCCGACATGCATTGACCACAGAACCAGAAACAGAAGAGCTGACATTATATGGGTAAACAAAGAGAAAACGAAGTTGTAACTTTAATCCAGGGAACCCCTCAGTCTGAACATTTCAGTCTGTAGATCTCACAACAAAGCATACACCCGACTGACATAGTTGGACTACTCTTATTCAGAAGATATTGCAGGCAGAGATGATTTATCCTCTCCCACATCTCTAAAATCACAAATTCAGAACTTCTGGTTGAGTGATTTCTGCTGCTTTTCTATCAGCAGACAATCTGCACAGTAAATTAAGTCTTGTTAGACACTGCTCTCTGGCCTCTGGTTTCTGACCCTGGTTCATTTGTCTGCGTCCTGTCCTCACATCTGAACTTGAGGAAAGCAGATGAGCCTAAATCTGTTTTTCACCTTTGCACAGTATTATTTTTTTCCCATAAACATGGCGCTGTTGGGTGTGAAAAGGCT